GAAAAGTTAGTTGCGATGAGCAAAATTAGTGACTCAAGCCTAAACTTTTTCTTATTCATTTCTATGTAGGCCTGTTTCAAATTTCGAGATTTGTTTGGTAATAGAAATTCCAGCCTAATACCTATAATTGCTCACATTAGTAAGGTAAACAAACTAAATCTTATAAAGCCATTTTCGATAACAATGAAGCGATTCAAAGGAAATGACACCTTCTTATGTGCGGCCTTCTCATTCCACATTTAGCAGATGCATGCTATGAATATCACAATAGCAAGTCCTAATAACACTTTTTTCGCGAAGGCTACTGTCACCCAGTCTGTTTGTTCCCAGTCTCTTAGATATAGAAAAGCGGAGTAAATTGAGGGATTTGAATGATTTAGTTGAGTACAATTAAGTTTTAGTTGACAATGAATGGTCTAATAAGTATGAAAGTTAAATTGCAATTGAGAAATCAGAGTACGTAAAAAAAATCCAAGACTTTCAGCATTAGATAAAAAATATGTAGTTAATAAGCCTCGCAGGCAGGTGAGAAATCTTGAATCACACACAGAGTTCTTGGCACTTCTACATCTACTCCAGCGTTTTTTGGGCCATAAGCAAAAGTTCCTACATTGATCATAATTAGACTTCATGGAAAATCGGTCTACCGCACATATGATCTTCTCCCAGAACTTTTGAAAATTCAGAAGTTATTTGCTTATTCGCAGTACAGAATTCCCGCATACTGTGCAACTGTAATCGCGCGATAGCGTTGCGACAGTGATCGTGTTCGAGTTTGCACGTGTCATCGTTTATGGTGAGCGCTAAAAAGTAATTTTTGAATGAGCTCATGTTTGATAGCTTTCATTGTTTTTTTCCATTGAAATCCAATATCTTCTCACTATTTTGTGCACTTCTTCATTCCGCGACTAATTAAGCGCATTTGTCCAGTACTTAATAGGTATGGAATTATTTGTACAACGAAGTAAAAGAGTTTCGGAAGTACATGAACATGGTCCTTTCGCTAAGGTATGTAGATAGAAAAGCGTTTTTACGTTTACTCCATTTTCCTATCTCACAACTTGAACTCAATTTATCCAGGAGAAGAAAGCTAGAGAAGACATCCGCGCAGCTGTCCCTTTACATTCACTTGATCACGTGAAATCATTCCTCAAAATCGTACGAGAAGAAGAAAATGTTATGGTGAGTATGTGAACAAATGGCTTTCTTGCAGTCTGGAGATATTTTTTTCTTGGTTTCTATTAGTTTCATTTTCCTTTCCAGGGTGAAGTTCAGCAGTTGAGATTCACCTCGAAATTTCCACTTTACGAATACAAGCTCATCCAGGTTCCTAAAGAATTGCTGAAAAATGCGCTTGAGGGAGAAAAGTTAGATTTCCTATGTTAGGCATGCTTTTTTCTGCTTATTATTGCTCATTTATGTTGGTGTTCCGTGGCGATATGGAAGATTCTCCAGTGCTTTGTTCACGAACGTCAACGTACTCGATAAAGGAAGTGGAGACTTCAAATTCTATGTTATTGACTCCAACCTTAAAAACAACATCACAGGTCAAAGATACACAGGAAAAGTTTATCACAAATTCTTTGGTATGTTAGAAGTCTTTAAATCTTCTCATACTCGCTTTATTTTA